GCTAAGAAGTCTTAAGCAATCTAAAATTTTCAACCCCCTAAAATATGAAAAAGATACTAAAACTGTAATGAAACCGTAATGAATAAAAATCATTGAAAAGCCCTACTAGTCGAAACTGTGAAGATCTCTTAAATGACATACCCCATGGTTGTTGACAAAAATCTTTCAATCCGTGTAGGCTTGATTGTCTCTCTAAGCTAAGTAGATCAAGGAACCTGATAAACTCGAAACAATGAAAATCCATGGGCATCTTAACCGAGTTGTCCTAAATAAAATAAATTATAATCAAACTAAGTACAGTTATTTCTCTTAAAAAAATTCTAATTTTATTTTTTAGGGCTACAAAAAAACAAAATAAAATGTCACCTTAGATTTATTTTACATGTTATTAGGGTGTGTCAACTCTGTTTTGTAGGACTGCTATAAATAAATAAGCTGTTGTAGTAATCTATGATCTTTTCTTGAGTCTTCTTTTCTTTTATTGAGTTATGAAGTGCCAATTGACTATAAACATATGAACTATCCAAAAGAAGAGGAAAAATGAAGTGAAGGATGAACCTCAATAGTAGTTCTGATGATGTAAATGGACGAGTGTGACATAAGTTAGAGTTGGTACCTATACCATCAGTTTGTCTGTATTCATTCGATATGTCTGCCAAAATTATAGGCTGATATTTACATTTCTGCCTTTTGCCTAAATTACCGATGGGCTTACTTAAGGACTAGACCTTCTACCCCAACCTAAACAACTTCAACTTAACTTTTCAAAATAAAACTCATAAGCAAAACTAAATCACATAAATCACTGCATTCACAACCATAGAAACATCATACATCTAAACAACCTTGATTGACATCAAATAAAATCGAGTAGGAACTCCTTTTCAATTTAGAAATATGAATGATAACATGATTTACAGACATATGTATAACTTTATACTTCTATTCTTTGTTTTCAATCACCCACTACACAACTTGTTTCGATGCACTCAACATTAATTAAATACAACTAAACATTTAAGTTTGGTTAGGCATAAAACATTTATATTTGAGATTTCAAATATGTTCACATTAGTCTTAGGAAAATATGCATACCATACATACTTAGGTAACTTGATTTATAATCAATTCGTAAAACCTATTAGCCCCAATAAATAACAACCTACCCTGTGTTGCATCATCGAGACGGGTTATGCATGGTTTTGAATGTGATTAGATAGTTTAGATGGTTCACATTTCTAGCCAGGGTTGTAAGTCCATTGCATTTCATGTTTCCCTTCTTTTAGGTTAGGGATTTAAAATTTCACTTATCTCAATGAACTTCACCCAAAGACTCTAAGGTTGTCCATCTAGTGACGACGTAAATCCTCACCCAAAGTCTCTTATAAGATTAAACAATTTTTGGGCAAGCCAAGTCTCGCAGAATTGCATTCCTCAAGCTTATTCTCTTTTGGATTCCCTACTTATATATCTTTCCAACACTTGATCGTATCATTTTTAATACTTTAAGAATCTCACTCTTTGATATTGTAATATTTATACCATATTCATCTCTAACGCTCCATGACTCTTCCAAGACTCACCCCATTCTAGTTTCATGCATTTTTTATAATGAAATTAATCTCAGCCGAACCATCTTCAAACCACAAAAAAAATACCTTATGTCAATGAAGAGTGTTGGGGCACTACTGTTGTAGCGTCGGGGCGCTATCAACAGTCGCGGCGTCATTGAATCTGACCACCACCTTTCGTGAATCCTTATCTTTGAATTAGGGCATGGGGTGCTACAAACACTACTTTTATGAGCAATTGGGCACTACACTATGAGCTTTGCAGCACTAACTAGCTTCTGGAACCGAAGTGTCATGCTCTTGGATTTTTTGACTGAAAAATGTCTGCTTCGCACACTGAGGTGCCTTATATATGGCATGACGACGCTACAAACACTACTTTTATGAGCAATTGGGCACTACACTATGGGCTTTGCAGCACTAACTAGCTTCTGGAACCGAAGTGTCATGCTCTTGGATTTTTTGACTGAAAAATGTCTGCTTCGCACACTGAGGTGCCTTATACATGGCATGGCGACGCTCTCCTTCTAGCGTCGGGTGCTCCCTCCTAGCGTTGGGGTTGACAGTCTTCAATTTATTAAATTTTCCTCACGCGTTAGGTTCTTTCCTTTATACTGCACATATACACAACATATACCTAATACAAATATAAAACCAACACAAAAAATATAAAAAAAGCTCTATATCATAACATCACATTTCACACATATCATGCATGATCATACTTCCTTACTTTCCATTGTCTAAGATGTTAAAAATTGAAGTTTCCCTACGCTTACTTTTCAAAAAGATTAAGATTACATTCCAAGTGAACGATAAAAAAAAGATGATTTTTAAACACATGGGGAATTCTCCATTCAAACACTCAATTCCTACATATTTACATATCTAACACCTAAGATTTGATTTTCATTTGTAATATTTAATCTTATCAATTTGTTCATTGTTAAATAAACTAAATTTTATATATCTTTATAAATTAAAATAATAATTTTTATATGACATTTTATTTTTAAAAAAAATTATTTATATTTTTTTAATATGACACTTAAACTTTAAAAATATATCAAAATATTACTAAAATAAATTTATAACACTTTAAATATATCTTATCATGTATATATTTTAATGTTATTTCATTTTAACCCTATATATATAATATGACTACTAAAAATAGTGAATATGCAAGTTTATAAAAGAACCACAAATATCAAATTTAGATAAATGAAAGCATTTTTGGACATTTTGAAGATATTTATATCAAAATTTGAAGATATTTATATCAAAATTTGAAGATATTTATGCCAAAAAGATGAAAAGATATTACATCAGGACTCCACACGTAGAGTTACGTGCGGAGTCTAATAAAATCACGCCACACATGTAAATGTGAGAAAAAAAAATTGTTCTGGTAACACAGGAGAATATTCATCTCGTGTTATTTAGGTGTTATTGTGTGTTATTCAAGTGTTATTGATGTGTTATTGTGTTATTATAACACCA